TTGAAAAAGCCATTTAAACCACTATCTCAGCATACGCAAGATGCCACTATTGTTTTATCGAAAAAGTTACTAGTATGTGGCTACTCTCTTGCTCTCTCTTTGTCTGAACATGTGTGTTCATGTTTAGGTTAAAGAAGATGAAATCGAAATTGTACTTACCAGACAAGATCACCAACAGTCATCGTGATAGTTTTTAAACAGTGCGTCTGTGTAAAGTCCTGTTTTTTATTGTTATCTTAGTGTTGCATTTCACTCATGACCGGTGTCTCCACTGGATTTTGTTGTTTTATTTAAAAAATGATTGTTCTCTGAATGTTTACAACTATGCGCTAAGAAAAATGGAGTTTACATACAATTGATCTACGTGAATATCCATATTAAAATTCTTGTAATACGATCAAAATCGTCAGCACGAATTATCGGATGTCTGGATACCTTGGCAAAGCGAACATAAGTTTATAATTGATGTTATGGGGTAAAAACAAGTAACAACTTATTTTATCTTTTCTACTTCGTCTTTCAAGATAATGATATAGGCGTTATTTTTATTTTTTTATATACAAAAGTATAATAGGAAAAGTGAAGATGTCATTTATTTAGTTTATTGTGATTTCGATCAAGAAGAGCGTTCATATTTGAAATATAAACGCATTAGGAAAAGTTTTAAATATTCAGAATAGATAATAATAACCAAAAGTCCATAGTATTTGTGAATGAAAAACCAGGAGAGTATTTTTTTTCATTTTACAAGATTTTGCATATAGAAAACGACAAGTGGATTCGCATAAGTGTCAGCCCTTCGTGATCTTTTTACTACGGAGGGAAGGAGCCCCTCGTGTTAGCGTTATGACAGAAAAAAATGTCGTAAAAAAAGTTGCATTTTTTGATTTGAAATTAAGGCAGTTGAATTTGAAGAGTTTCTTTTCTTCAATTCAAAGAGCATAAAAAACGTGTCTTTTGGAATATCTAGAAAAGAGTTGTAACCGAACTAAGCGAACCGTCTGACCGACGCGAACTAGTTTAATTGCCAACTGTGCGGCTGTTTACCAAGTTAACGTCGAAAATAAGTTTTGTGTTTGCTATTACTTCATACAATTATTTTTGCGTTTGTCGAAAACCAGAAGGTTCTAGTGGAAAATCCACAAAATTTTAGTTAAAAATACAGGACTTTAGCTAGAATACTTGAATGTTTAAAAACGAATTACTTGAGAACGTAATGATAATTTGACGTCTTCGGCCGTAAAAGAATAGTTTTTAGCTGGAAAACAAAAAGGAGAAAATTTTTAGGTATAAGTCGGGTGCGGGTACACAGTTCTCGGGTCAGGTCGGGTAGGGTAGATAAAAATTTTCGGGTCGGGTACGGGTATGTAAATGGTACCCGTGCACATCTCTAGCACTGTGTGATGATGATTGTATGAGCTACATGTGTCAGAAATGTTTTTTACAGCAATCGTTTAGTTGAATTTATAGATCTTCTACGTGAAGTTATGTGTGGACAAACTCGTGCAGTTGGAAATCGTGATGTAAAACGAATATGAACGTTCAAAAATCTTCTAAAAATTCTCATTTCTTCAGATATATATGTCAGTTTTCTAGTAAAAAAATAGAGAATGGATAGTTCTTCTGTAACACTCATTATGAACGTGTTTTGACTGTAACAGAATGAATAGTACACTGGTTTTCTTTAATTACGCTTAGAATTCTTTTCATAGCACTCGAAGCCGTCGCAATGAATAATTCTGTTTACCAAAATACGAAATAGGGGACAGGAAGAAACAGGATTCGAAAAGACTCTTTAAGAGATGTGTTTGTGTGATAGTCACCTGTGATTTATCTTTAGTGGAGTATCATGCTCAAATATTTGTGTAGGAACATGCTATTTTAGATTTGAACAGATAAAATAAATAGATGCTGACTATCTTACGGGCAGATTGGAAAGCCGTCGGAGTGAAACGTTCCTTATAAATACTAGACACCATTTGGATCCCTTACACAAGCAGTACTGCCTGATATTCTGCAAATTGAGATGTCTACAAACTGCTAAAGATATTAGTGGACTAGAGGACATATTAATCAACTGCAGGAGATATTGGAGAAATACCTAATAATACATAGGCTGCAGAATTGCACTTACCAACAAAGTCGAAAAATTCCAAAAGAATTTTAAGCTTGCTTCGTTCAGTCCTGCTCAACAGTTCAGTCTACTATCCTGGGTCCACTCTTAAACCTTCAATCAACTTGTGCAAAAGATGGGGTGTACATGAAGTCGGTATGAGAGCGAGCACAATATTTCATAACTTTCTGGTAAAATTCATTTTCCATTCTTTCTAGTCGAGTTATAGTTGGTGTGTTTCACTAATATCTCGTACAATTCCTAATACCTAGGTTAAAATGCTAATATTCTGTGTATTTTCGTAATATCTCGTGTATTTTGTTGATATCTATTTTCTTAGGATATCGAGCATCCCTCTACATGGGTAGTACTGTTGAATCATTAATTTCTCTAGTTTATTCATATATCGGTGGGATGATAGAGGTGGCATGTATGAGATGATTCACTATCTCATCATATGATATATAATACACTTGCAAGATACCAAGTAGTGCTGTGTTGAAGAGCAGGTATCATGTGATCGTTAATTAGCTCGGAAGGGTGAAACTTCAGCACGGGAAATTTCAGCGCTAGAAAAGATCAGCACCGAAAGAGGTAAGCGCAAGTAATGGTTTGTCATAGTTTTGAAATAAAAGGACGAACTGACAATCAATATGTAGGTCAAATGTGTTTATTTTTATATGAAACATATTTCAAAAATTCTCCTTCAAACATGTGATACGGATGAAAGATAGCGCTTTCAACACATCTTGGTAAGCTAAGCCAAATGTTACATTCGATTATCAGCTTTCGAAGTCGAGAAAAAGAATAAATTCTGATAATTAGGCAGTGGCGGCGCGAAGAGGTTGGGAGCATGGGAGGGGTAAATCCAAAAATGGGAGTAAGGTCTCCAAAAATAAGCCCCTGACTCTCCGAGCTCATCTTGTTCGTTTATTCATTAGTTCTTGATTTTGTTCAAAATCGGAGTAAATCACTCTCCGAGTTTCTCCGAAATGAGAGTAAATCTTTCTTATCTTTTCCCAAATTTGGGAGTAAATCTTTCTTATCTTTTCCCAAATTTGGGAGTAAATCTTTCTTATCTTTTCCCAAATTTGGGAGTAAATCGTTCATATTTTTAAAAAAGTATGGAGGGGGGGTAACCCCCCCCCTAATTTTTGTAGATGTATCATCTACAGCTTCTCTACTTTTGAATCATGTTTCCCCCAAATCTGTACCGAAGGATAGCTGAGAACGAGTGGCTCACTAAAAGCAGAAAGTAGTGTCTTGAAGAAAGAAAGAAGAATTTTTTTTACTGAAACAGAAGACGCGTCTTTGATTTTCACACGATGAGCATAACTACAAACGCTCTTTGTTCTTTGACTAAATGACAGTTGTAACGAATAGATGCGAGATATATGCAGAAGCCTTGCAACATCAATGTAAAAACTATAGTAAGACATTCAGCATCTGATAGTTGTTATTCATTCAAAAGAAGTTTCTCAATCAGTTGGTTCTGCTTCTGAGTCAGACTGTGCATCATCTTTGATGATATCGTTGTCACGTTCTTCTAAGGTTGCATCAGCTTTTTTCAATGTTTCTTGATATTTTATCGTCTGTTCAATGAAACTTGATATCATGTCCATATCACATAATGCCATCAAAGTTTTGTTCCACACAGCAACATCATTCAGACTGCTAGTCAGTTTATTGTTTCGAATAAAAGTTTGCATTTCGGCTCAAGCAGGTTGGATTGGATTAAACACACAATGCTCCGCTGGCCGATGTAAAATTCCAACGTTGAATTTTGCGGCCGCTTCATCTTTTTGAATTTTTGTTCTGTTATTCAAAAAATATCCATATATCATTCTTTTTTTGGACAGACAATACTTTTCAATCTCTCGATTCTCAAATTACGCTATTTGACTTCAGTGTCACGACATAAAATATGTTTTATCGACTATCAACAAAAGAAAGCGTGCTTTAGAGAAAGCACAGAGAGCTAAATCTTCACGAGTGGAAAGCTTTCATGAATTGGAAGACCGTTGTGTACAATAACCAACGAAGGTAGTCATAAAAGTAAGATTAGTATGTTTAACATCCAATTACTATTATGTTTTTAGACGGACAATAGATTCCTGAATCTTCTTCTGAAAAACATCATTGCCATGTGGTAGAGCATGGTCGAAAATCTATGCTCCATGTGTTTTGGAGGTTCGTCAGGTCATCCCAAGGCTCCCAGCGGACCATCGTAGATGGAGACCTCTTTCTCTCTCAAGTTTGTAAAGGAAGTCATACCATTTGTATATTCCAGACATAGAGATCGCTATGGAAACTACTCTGTCAAGGATTTGTCAATTACACCACATGCAGGTGGTATGTTGGCCTTTATTTTTCCATAGAATCGTATGTCAGGTATTGGCTACACACTGACGAAACCCGCATATTTTCATCTCTTCGCGTTTAAAATCTATTCAAAACGCATTCGCGATCTGTGCTTTTTGGTTTCGGCAGTAGTACGTTTTCGAGCAAAACGGTAAAAAAAGCGTTTTTCTAGAAAAGGAAAACTATCATCCAACGTGCTTGTTGTTTCTGATGGTCGGGCACAATTCGGTACACTTTTAAGACGTCTACATATTTCTGACATTGATGGTCAAGGCTACAGATATGCAGGGTATGGGTTTTATATATCCTGTAAACTCTGTGTAAAACTTTATAAGTTTTTACATCCTCCTCCGTCCTATCTTATTCACTCTCAACTGTTTGCACTCTACACTCTACCCTACGTTTACACAGATGAAGAGTAATAATATGAATGATTCATTGAGTGATCAAAGCCCGATTTGCTAGCTACAGTTTCATTCAAGAACTATAACCACATATCTTATTATCACTGTTCGGTGTATTCATGTATGTAATTGACAAAAAGTCTCAAATTGTTAAACAAGCAAAATTAACAGGAAATGTAAACGGATGTGTCCGTGACTTTTTGTCAGTTGAATGCAGTTTGATGGAAAAGCACTGGAAAGGTGACAGATGTCTCATTTTGTTCTGAAACAAACTGTTTCCATGAAACTGCATTCAGTTGACAAAAAGTCACGAAAGCACATCCGTCAGGATTTCTATTATTGTTGCTTGTCTAATGATTCGAGGCTTTCTGTCAATTACGCACATGAGTACATATGAACACTGGTAATAAACGAGTGATCTGAGCATACATTCCAAAACTAAAATAAGAAAGGCAGTTTAATTAGCTAATAGAGGTAGCGAGAGTAAATACACTGGAAATCATTAACATGCGAAAAAGACATAAGTTTTTGGAATTTTAACGTTAGGTTACATTTTGTGTTGTCAAGTAATGGGAAATGGTAAAATCATTTCAATTCTGGCGTTATGCGTTTTAAATCAATCTTCTATCACATTTTGTTGACGTAACTGATGTCCCTTAAGGACCCCCCCTCGGGAAAACCCTTTTTTATCTTACATCCGATTTCGATGGTGCTTTCGATGACCAATGCTTACGGTCGTACTAGCTTATGCTAAGAATTGGTTGAGATCGAAATGTTGAAGCGCTGCCGAATTATTGCGTGACAAGGGACAAAGTGGGGCTCTTAGCGATAACGTAAAGGCTTTTTTGTCGGAAGGTGCAGAAAACTGCGAGAGATCTGAAATGAAAGTAGACACCTAAATCTAAAATTTGATCCGCGGCGATTTTTGAATTTCGCTTCCGTTCATTCCCTACGCGTATTTTAAGGCAGACCTCTGAAAATAACCTTAATTCGGCGGAGTATTTACCACTTATCTCTGTACAGAAAACATAAATCAAAAATGACCGTAGATCAAACTTTAGATAAGTGACTTAGCTTTTAAAACAAAAAAAAGAATGAAGGTTTTACGACGAATCGTCTAGGAGTTGATACAACTCTGCTGTGCCAAAACCATATTCTAAGCAATGACGCCATCACTTCATTAATAATAGTTCAGCGCCTTTAGCAAAACTAGTATAACTCTGCAAGACGAAGTCGTAGAAACCTGCTGGACATCTCATTCTGATCAGAACACTCTGCTCAACATAGCTCCATGTCTGTTAAAACGAACAACCATACAAATTTTAATTAAAACATGAAATTTAAAAAAAGATGAATTTTAGGGCTTTCAGAAATCTTTTCCAAAACCCGCCAAAAAGGTTGAAGTAAACTGAGATGGATCCTGAAAGATGATACTTTGGGATACTGAACCGTATGGTTATTTCAGTTCGGAAGGTTTTGAAAAAAACATCGAATTCCTGTGGGGAAGGGGGGGGGGGCTTAAACCAGTTTGTTTTTTGTTTCGATCGCTGAGTCTTTTCACCATCGGTTTATAAAAACCAGTGCTTGAGCGTTTTACGCCATATTTTCAAGTAGACTTTTCCTAAAGCGGTCAAGTACGTCAGGTACCTCCTCAAGATCTGATATTAACTTACGTCACTCCTTGTGGTATTAGTGTTCTAATGAAGTAGAACTAGCGTGCTAAGATTCTTATGTGATGGTGTACTCCTCCTCTGCTCTCTTACGCCGGTGCAATGTTCGCATCATCTTTCTGGCACTCTGGTTATCCTTGTTTTAGCCAATTTAGAATAAAAATATGAATTAAGTATTTAGACCGTCATGGCTAAATGTGTATAATAACAATGAATTTTTGGAAAAAAATACAAAATATTTTTCACAAGCACTTTTAAAATGGTGGTGTTTTGTCTATTTTATAGTGTACTACAAAATCCACTATGTGATTTGACTTTTACATCTCTTTGATCTTTCATTATACATGTATATCGTCTTGTGTCGGAGGGTTTTGCTAATAGATCGTTCAATAATTCGCCAGCTTTAATAATATGTTTTGCAGTAAAATGATTTTCTGCAATTTCTTCAGATTGCCATTTCTGAATACATGTAAAATGTGTTTTATCTTCACAATTTTCGAATAATTCATATTGTATACAGCCAACTTCTTTACGTGAAATTTCAGTTATATCATCTAATATTTGGCGTACTGCTTCAATTTCATTTGGTAATGCATAACAATCAGTAATAAGATAAATCAATGATGTACTCATATCTCCTAAAGAATCAAAAATTATGATAATATGAATACTTAGAGAATTATTTTATTTCTTAGATATCTATAATTGAAATTGGAAAACACTTAAACAAGATAACAAAATTTGTTTTTTCATAATCTATTAGTACATGTATCAAAGGAATAACGTTTATTTTCAATAGCGTGTATACAACATACTAAAATAAGCTCTGAATTGTTATGCAGTATATTTATTGATGTAATCATTTAATAAGCTCTTGTTTATAGAAACTAATCTAAGAAGAAACTAACTGAGTTTTATATTCTATTTTAAGGAATAAACGACAATTTCTTACTTTGAACTTTTCTGAATACTTTACTTTTTTTCTTCTAATAATAATAGTTACAAGCAAAAATAAGAATTGAAAAGTAATATTACAGTTTAATTTGAAGTCATATTTGAAAAATGTTAATTTCCTCGTTTTCCTCTTTACCGGAAGTATTGTCACTATCTTATCTTTTTTTTCTTTTTTTTTTTCAGTCAGAAAGGTGAGACTTACATATATCACTTCATAAAGAGTGAAATAAATTGCAGCACTATCATCATGCTTGGTGGATTTAATATTATTTTTTTCCTTCTAATTTCTTTCTGTTTTTCTTTCTTTCTCCCAAAATCTAACTATATTTTTTCAGCAACACTTTTTTCTGACAAATTTTTTAACAAAAATGTTTTAAGGTTTTATTACTACGGTCTAGTAAATAATTAATATTCGAAAATGGAGCACGCTAGCTAAGAAAAATATTTTCGAGACCAAACTAAGTATCAAGATTATGCTGAATTCTTTCAGAAACACTTGTTTCATCCATAACTATAAAACTATAAAATTTGATCAATTAATAAAAATTTGTGATGAAAGCAAATAACAAAAGTGCTGTGTTTTCTTTTGATATGTTTAAAACACTTCCCGTATAAATGTGTGATTCGACACATGCGAGAAAACGCTAATCAAGTGAACAAGAATATTATATACAGCTGACTAACGTACTGAAATTATTTATAATGCATTTCCAAGTAAACCGCTATCAAATGAAAACGACACGAAATTACTTGATACATCAATAAAAGTGACATGTTAACATAATACCGATCCAATTATAACAACGTGTCAACAATTTTAATGTCATTAGCATGTAATATTATGTTAAGTTATGTATTATGTCATTTTCATCAGCCCATCTTCTACGACGATGAAAAGAAAAGTAACATCAATTTTTTAATGAGTAACTCGGAATATTTTGATTGAAATGTATGATACATCTAATGTGTGGTCAGAAACTCTCAGGTTAAGAAAAAACGAAGTTTTCTCGACTTTTCTGCAAAAACTTAGACAAAGTTACGAGTTTAAGGTAAAGTTCGATCTTCTGAATAGAGCATCTAAATTGGATTAGCGTTATATACATATTTCCAGAATATGGTGTAGAGTGTGATGCACATGACTTAAAGTGTAACGTATAATACATAATCAATTATGTGAGAAGTAGTCTAAGTGATTAACGACTTTTGGGTTAAAAAACGCGGTACTATGAATAATCGATGAGGTGAATCATGAATCTGATATTCTTTTTTACCTATTTAGCCTTGTGATGTCGATTTTTGAGATAAAGTTCTCTGATGACTCATATTGATACTGAAGATGAAGATGAAGGGGCTTTAATCTATCCATCTTGAAGAGCATGTCGGAGTAACTTTACGAAAAAAGCTTCAGATCTAATCAATAGATTTTAACTGAACTCAAGAACTTTTATTCTAAACGAAGGTTAACAAGCAAGGCGTTGTGGTATAAGTGGAATGTAAAAGTTCTTAAGTTCAGTTAAAATCTATTGATTAGATCTGAAGCTTTTCCCGTAAAGTTACTCCGGCATGCTCTTCAAGATGGATAGATTAAAGCCCCTTCATCTTCTATTTCAACAGGCGACTTCTAAGATCGTTTTTTCGAAGATATACACTTTTGTGTGAAGAATTATGTGTTCATAAATCTAGACTCTAATGCCATAGATTCAAATACAGATTTTCGTCCGTTATTTTAGTTTAGTTGCTTTTATGCAATAACAACGCTAATTTAGCAGTTTTTTTAGAAATACTAGGTATAAACTACGTCAGAACGTACTGTATTTGCGATTTAATTCATATATATATTTTTTTTAAACTTCAACTCTCATCTCTCCAGTCTAATGGCACTGAAATTGGGTTATCCCATTGCATTTGATAGCGCGTCCAAGACTATCACGCGACAGCCGTTGCTGGGATTCGAACTTCGGATATTTGAAGTACTCATACTATCAATATACTTCGTATATTTGTCAGTACTCTTTCTTACGGTCGCAAAGTGGATATATGATTAAAATTAACTATCATCCGTCGATCATCTGAATATGCGAAGCATTGCAAATCAGAATACTGAACCGGTCATCAGCTGTGCTGGAAAATTTAACAACGATGTTAATACAATAGACTGAAATGGTCGGAAAGGTGAACATTTTAAATCTTCTAAATAAAATTACTGTAAAAAATTGTTTTGTCAGAAGAATAAAACAAAAATGTATTTAATAGAAACTGAAAATTGTATATCGATTGTACACGTCCGCTGACTTTGTTCAACATCATTTCTGCATACCATATATTCTCGTACAATATGGTAATCATCTTTTTCCCTGTCACAGAATAGCTATCTCTTGTTTATGTACAGAATTTCTTTCGCGTATCAAGCAGTCGGCATTATGGGCCGAGGTAATAGTAAAATACGAAGACACCTTACCCAGAGACACTTACAGACAGCACATAGACATCTACAGATAGCCACTGACAGCTACACAGACAGCATAGAGACACCCACAGACAACCAAAAATAACTACAGAGACATCCACTTCTGTGTCGCTCCTATGTTCGTAGAAGTGGGTGTCTGTGCTTTGTTTGTCTATGTAGTTTTTTTTTAGTAGCGCTATATTTATTTAATGTAAATAAATATAAAACAATAACAGCAAACATAAAAAAAGAAAAATGAAACAAAAGCTTTTGAAAGAATTGTCTTATCTTACATATGACGTATAAATAGCTATATTTCTCATTTACTAAAAAATACTGTTTACCAAAAGAAACAGAACAGTAAAGAATTAATACAAACATCAAATGTGAGTCAATCGTATAAATTAACTATCAACAACTTTTATTTTCGGTTGTTAACAAAATGATTCACTGCGAGGTTTGTGTCGAACAGTTTTCAGTATATTATTTGAAATCAATTTTGTTGTCATTTTATCTGTCAAATTACTGCTACTTTTAACTTGTCTTATTGTTTTACTTTCTTTTTTCTGATTAAAATCGTGTAAAATACTAAGACAAATTTCTTTAGTAAAGCCAGAACATAATGCAGCCATTCCTTCCGGCGAATTATCAACGGCTTCGCTTCGCGATAAATCAGCTTGTAGTTCATTTTGACGACGCGACAATGTTGATAATGCAACAGTCTCAGGTTTTTTGGTGTAATAACATCTTTTGACGATTGATAGATTCCTCGACCGATCCATGTTAAACTATTTATTGTACCCACTGCAGGTTTATAACTAGCGTTAACCAATCCCACTGCAGCACCTACACCACACCCCAATAGACCATGTTGTTCCGCACCTCTCACAGGTGTCATTATTAAACCCTGAAGTTCATCTCTGACTCCATTCACTACCGACATTCCATCTGCTTTTTCGCCAGATAGAATACTCGTAGGGACAGGACGTGGTCTCTCTATATGATAAGGATCCAATATTGATGGAAGTTTTTCCAACATATCAGTAATCTCACCATATAAGCTAAAAAAGCCAACAGGCGTATGCAATACAGATTTTCCAACACCTTCCGACCTCAGTTGAACTAATTATATTTTTTGCATTCCATGCCTTCTTTAAACTACCTGCTGTGTCGTCGACCAAACTGAAAAAGACTTTTGTTCCATGTTTATAAATACCGTAGGTTAGGAAATGTCCTTGATCATCACGTAATTCCCATACTTTTGAGTGATAAATTTTTAATTCTGATTCTTTAATGGCACCCGCTGCAACAAGAACTCGTGCCACGGGGAGAAATTTTCAAATTATAATCAGGAAATTCGAAAGCGGCTCGAAAACTTGATTCCAGATCACTTGTCATGTTTTCCAGAGGAAGATGAGCATGAAATGATCCAACAGCTTCTTCAACACCATTCTCATTTTATCAGCTAATTGTGTAGCCACATTTTGAGCTTCTTTGCTAAATACAAAACGAAATGCACCAGCTAGGTTTTGGGCTTTTAGCTTTTTACCATTTAGAATTACAGAATAGATGGATAGTTTCTCATCAAACGAATAGCTTTGGATGTGGTCGATGATTCAAGTTGAAGTGTCTTTCTACGAAAGCGATTGATTAAATCTCTCATACCTGCCCATGTCAACATTTCAACGGCACCGTACGACATAAAATTAATTTGTGCTTTAGGCGCTTTTTAATAGTCTACATTACACGGTGGATGGGGAAAGGCTTCTGTAGGTGTCCAAGGCATTGTAAAAATAATATGCAACGAAATACTTAGTTTTTGTGCACAATGGGTGTGTCCAAATGTTGGTGCATTGCTAATTATTGCTTCAGCTGTGAACGCTGCTCCAGTCTCATCATCAGGTTGAACACATGCTCTCCATGTGGATTTCATTATGTCAGCCATGAGTTTTCGTTTTTTTTTAATATCACCATCAAGAATACTGCTCATTGATGGAATTAATCCAGCATTTTTAACCATAAATGTCATCAACTCTGCTGGATCACCGGCTAATGGAAAAAATTCAAGACCATTTTCTTTCACAAATTCACGAAATATTTCATGTGTTACAAGTCTCACTCGATGTTTAGCTTTTAATAGTTCTTTTCCAAGAGCAATAAACGGTCGTACATCACCTCTACTTCCAACCACCATTATACAGATAGCTAAATGTGGTACATTTTTATTAAGCTTCAAACGATCTTCTTTACACAGACCTATTCCAGATAGAATAATCTCATTTTTTTTCTGTAAAGCATGTGAATAATCTTGAGACAAATTTATCCAAATGTCGTCAATTTCATCCATCACAAGATCGACACGTCCTTCATCAGTAATACTAGGCTGATAGTCTAACGATTTATGTGTCGATGTTATTGTTTTACTTATTGTCAAATAGTGGCTCAATAAATCGATATCCGTGACGATAAAACGTATATTAATTTGTTCTGAATTGTTAATGATTTTTTTCGATAAATTTTTACCACCACTAAGGTAAATTGTAATAAAATTATCAATATTGAATTTAATTTCTTTTGTTATCAACTATTTCAAATGTAAAATCGCAGTAAAAGGCTGAATTATTATTTATTCTCGCACTAGCACCCAATTTTGTCATTATAATATTGACAAAATTCAAATAAAAATGTTTATTGTGCCATTCATTTTCTATTTTAAAATGTTTACGATATAAGCCTAAATTGGTAGAAGATGGATAAGAGAAAGTGGATAGATCCCATGGTTGACTGTCATCGAATGATGTCGATAGTGGATCAATATTCGATTATTCTAGACATTGTTTGTATTGCCAATCGTCCACAAAATCGATAGTTAATATTTGTGATTGTGACAATTATCTTAAAAGTGCACAAGTCACTTAGTGACAGTTTACTCAAACATTCTGTACATGTGAGAGATATTTTTAGTCAATAATTTATTTTATTTTTAGCATAAAAAGGTTTCTCTTTAAAATCTTTAAAGGTCTATCTCCTCTATCACGACTTAATCTTGTCCAACCTCAACAGGACAGAAGGTCTGAGAGACTAACTCAACACTTACAACAAGTCTCAATTCCATTTGCTCGCACTGGAATAGTGGTGTAATCATTTTTAGTTCGAACAGCTCGAGACTGGAATACTCTGCCTGAATTGGTGGTCTCATCTCCTTGTATTAGAAGTTTCAAGAGAAGGTTCAGACAACATTTGCACATATAAAACAAAACAAGAACAACAACCAGGAGACGGAAAAAGCATTTAACATAAGGTAGCAGAGTTAACAGGTGATTATCACTTTTTCTGCTTTCCCAGCAACAAGGTTCGGTCATAGTTTACTGTTGTCAACTTGTTATGTGGCTCTAGTTATTATAGTTGTAACGCTTTGGTGTCAATTTGATATGATTTTAAAATGTTTATTTAGAAACTGAACATGATATCCTTTACACAAAAATAGCGTATATTTATATGAGAGTTTACACGAAAAGCGGAATATTCTAGAGTTGATGTACTAGATTGGGAAACTGGGGATACATGTAAGCGATCACGGAAAATAAAGAAACCAAGAACTAACACTGGGGAAATTCCTGATAGAAAAGAACTAACGCTGGGGAAATTCGTCATAGAAAGACAGAGAACGAAAGAGATACATATAGTTGACAATAAGAAATAACACTGGGGAAATTCCTGACAAAAAGAAAGAGAATGAATATCTATATATATGTATGATACCTGCCCGGGCATTTCTCACGCAATAAATCATCATATGTATGATACCTATCATACAATTGTCTCTTATGGCACGTCTTTAATATGTGTCAAAGCAGATATGATACAATGTAGGATCTTATATAAGGATATCTGACTTGGTTGCTTATGTAAGAGGATCTCCTTACATAACACAACTTTTGTTTCCTTCGTTTCAGTAACCAAATTCCAGCATACGTATAGCTTGGATCAAAATACACGACCTAGAACTCGATAGCAATCCAGCTATGAGCTCTTACCAAAGTTCTCAGCTGAAGAACCAGAGTGGTGAGCGAGACTGCATGAAAATAAATAACCTGAAACCCGATGACAAGTCGTTTAGAAGGACTTATCAAACTTCTAAACGACAGGCCAGAGCGGTAAATAATAAATGCAAGCGTCTTAACGAAATAGAAAATTTTTAGACTAACTAACCTAAAGCCTCTAAACTTATAGAAAGAGATAGTGAAGAGAAATCATTTTATTCTCGCTTCAAATTCTTGCGAAAAAAGCAGCGGAAATCAGTGCCACCTTCTAGTATAAGATTTCGCCTAATAGCTCTAACTGCTATTATCGGTTAAGATAGTAGTCCGCTTACTGTTATCAATAGCTCTGTTTGACACTATCTACGCGAGAATTTTGCTTACTGATGTTAATGAGCTTCTCGGTGTCAACAGCTGTAATTCATACCATCTGTTCGTGTCAATACCTCTTGTTGACACTATCTGGTGGTGGCAATAGCTCTGATTGACACCGGGAGGCTTATTGACAGTAGCGGTGGTCACCATAGCCATTCCGTTTAAAGATATGCACGGCTTGAATGTTAAAGATGTTAATAAACATGAATTTTAATAGTCCCAAGAGATTGAATCGTACTATCCGATCGTACGAAATCGTATACGATTATGTACGATTATGTACGATTTACATATGAATCGTGGTATCTGATTTGTCATCTGGTTCGTATTATATGATTTCATACGAAGTTGTATGATCATATATGATCTTGTACGATCGTATTATACGATCCAGAGGACAAATCAGATACCACGATTCATATATGATTTTTATACGATTTGGTACGATTTTATGTGATTCGGATACGATCGTATACGATTTGTTTGACCTGGAGTTCTCACTGTTCTGTTTCTTATATTATTCAGACTATATTTTTAATACCCTACGACTACTAATTCGGTTATCAATAAAGATACTGTTATTGTTCATTGATCCTGAAATTTTCATGATAATAACTTCTACAGTTTTTTACCCATTTTCTTGTGAATATGAAGTTCAGAATTTATAATGCCACTCTTAACCCTTTACCCCCCGCCCCCCTTGGTCACTGGAGTGACTATTTCTAGATCGATGGCAAAAAATTAAGAAAGCATGGAGTTTAAAAAATTTGGGAAGATGTCTTGTAGTGAACTCTATAAGCTATCGATTGGTCAAAGAAATATTTTGTTACATTGTTTTGTCTCCGAAGAAGATGAATTACAAAATCGATGACTTTTAAAAAATCACAAAAATTGGATTTTTTTCGGAAAATATTTTTCTTCCAACAGATAAGAGATGATATGATACAGAATGGTCACTCCAGCGACGTATAAAAAGGACTCATCTCATTTTGTAGAGCAAACAATTCTCTACAAAATGAGATGTCCCTGAACTCTCAACAACGTCTTTTGTCCGAACTATATAAATTTACAATAGCCCAAAATAGGACTTTTTCAAGTCATTCCCCCCAATGGTTACTGGAGTAACGAAACTACTTTGCACAAACGAGAGCGCGCTTGACCGATCTGTCCATACTATTGCCATATTGGAGACACCAGTACTCTGTTCCAGTAGTTGTTTCATCAGTGGCTCTTCTGGAACCGCTGTGGGGGGGTAAAGGGTTAACGTCATGATCTGATTAATGCTTCACCAACACAGTTTACTGTGATTATTAATCAGTATATTAATGTGTGGTCACAAAGGGAAAGTATAAACTAGAAACAAATTTACTAATCAAACGATGACGCTTCTGCATCGGACTATAGCCAATTTAGTGCTTCGCTTATAAACGAAGCACAAAAGATCAAAAGAAATTAAAAAATAAGACCCAGTAATGTAGACAGGGTTCATCGAAGCTTCCCACACTTCAACCAGAAAATCTGCGTGAATCTAGCTGAAGACTTAAGGGTGCCCTCCCCCATCTTTTTTGATCCTCTTAAAAACAGCGGAAGTCGATGTTTGATCGGGGTAAAATTTATACCAGAGATAAAACATTGAAAAAGAAAATTGACGTTATTTTGTTCAGAATTTTCTGACATATTCTTCTATGGGTTTTCTGGAAAACTCTAATTTTCATCTAGTCACATTATGATCCCTCAAAAAAATGGTTGGATCGAACTCAAAATTTTACCACAGATACTTTAGACCTATCTCCGGTTTGTTTTATTTCTTTTAAAAAAATATGCTTTCCTTCTTGAGATATTCAAAAAATACTAAACATCATGTATAAAAAACTGCTTTTTTAAAAGCCTTTTCACGCCGCAAGTTGAAATAGAAAACGCTTGAAAAGCAATGAACCCGAGATAAGGGTCTAAAGTATCTCTAGTAAAAATTTCAGCTCGATCACTCCATTTTTTCGACGGGTCGTAATGTCACGTGACTGAAGAGATTATCGAAAAAACGCTTAGTGAGAAAAGCACATTGTACACAGGACTCTGTTTTTCAGGGAATTTGCAGTAATGCTTACATCTCCACGAAAACTTATCAGAAAATTCTGGAAGACATCTTATTTTGAAGAGCACTCTTTCTTCTATCAAGCTATGTATAAGAAAAAAATTTTGAATATACAGAAAAGGAGGGAAAAAGTTACGAAACTAAAACATTGAGATTTTCTGGGATTTAAAGGAAAAACTTAAAAACTTCATAATTTTTCAAGGACGACCGTGGAGAGCTGGGAATGATCTCATTTTATAGCCCAGACTTTCCTCTACATTAGACTATGTTCAACTGAAAATGAAAAGTTTTTTGCTGAAAAAGAGGATAGACCCTTAAAAGCTATACGTTAAAAAAGTTCTTTTTTAAAAACCGACCTTTCCAAAATTGTACATAAATTTTCAAAATTTTCAAAATTTAGGAAGAAAATCTTCAAAAAATAATAAGTTTCATTTGAAATTTGAAAAACGTAACTCATCGGTTCATCTGTTTGTGGAGAGTTAATAAATGTGACCGTACGGCTGATTTCTTGACCTGAAAAGAATTATCTTAGAAATATGACGGACTCACTAAAAACCTGGGAACACTTTACGAAAACGAAATAATCTCGCTTGTATCTTCTAAAAGTTTTCAGAAATTTTCTCTTCATGATCTCGTGTAGAAAGTGTAATAACACTCTTTTTTGTCAGACGAACGCAGGATTTTTTTTCCAGTTGGTAGCCAGTAAGTATAGTTAAGTTTATTCAAAACACATTTCTTACGTTTTGCATACGTACTGACGTAACATCGACATAATTAATACAGTGTTTATGGGCTAATACAGTCTTTTTGGGCTAGTTTTTGACTAACGACGGAAGGTTCCCAAATGTCACGCAGGTTTTTGAATGCGATATATACCAGTTTGTAGAGTTCGATGCGCTGATTACGATCCTTAGTGGAACTTCTCTTAATCAAGATCTTGACTTCTTGAATTTTTTCGGTAAGATCTTGATTCAAGATCGAGTTTTTGCCATCGGATGCGCCGCATGCGATTGTACATTCTCACATGTTTAGTTTATTCAGTTTACACTTCGGGTACTCTATACTCACAATATTAGTGATATCGAAATATGCACAGTAAAGAACCTCTATTTTAGTTTAACATGTGAGAATGTACAATCGAATGTGGCGCATCCGATGGCAAAAATTGGATCGCTTGAAACTATATTATCCCTGAAATCTAAGTCTCTCAATAAGTATGTCAGAGTGACTCTTCAAAAAATGTAAAAGTCGACCTGGCTCTTCAATTAAGGCTTATGGATGAAAATGCTTTATGCCATCGTAATCAGCGCATCGAGCTCTACAAACTGATATATATCGCATTCAAAAATCTGCGTGGGGGGACCTTCCCTCGTAAGTATTTTTTCAGATTTTCTAAGCACTTGGAACAAAAGTTTTTATGCCATTAAATGGCTTATAAATGAAGTATATTCTTCATCATCTGAATTTGAAAAAAAGGACGCTTTCGATTTTTTAATAAATACCCGTATGGACGCACACTGTGCTCTGGAGATTCGGCAAGAACATTCAATCAGTCATTGGTAAAAAAACTAGACATAATTTATTAATAGTCAATGTTTCATTTGTTTATAAAGAAAATCTTTCATGTTATTTTCCATTCACGAAAACATACATTCTACTATCCCTGTCAAAGATACTGGTCAAACTTTTAATGACCAGATCTATTTTCAGACGCATGCAGAATCAACAAATCTTTTTAGACTTCTTTCGAGTTTTGAACTGAATGAGATTTGATCAAAGTTAAGAATAATTGTAGAAGAGAAATGTTTCTTAGAAATTGTAAGAAGATCCATGCATAACCTTCGTTCGTGGATTTGCAGAATAAAATTTCTGATTAAATCGAATAACGGGTGAGGTAGAAGAAACCGATCTCTTAGTATTCTGAAGTTGGTCCGCGATCCTCACATTTTAAAATTCAGCTGTTTTTTTGCAAAATATTCATCATTTAATTCTCTACAACATGATATATAGAAGATAATTCTGAGACTCGCGATGCCGTTTTACTTGAACAGTAAATGATATACCCCAACAAAATCAAAAGTTCAACTTGAAAAAGTGTAACTCGTCAATATAAGCTTGAGTGTATGCGTTTTGCCCAGATCGAATAGACCAAAGTGTAGCTCTTGAAATTCTCTATCGAATGGCTATAATGCGAATTTTTGTGTTTTCAATAATGCTTTTTGCAAAAGGCCAATTTTAACTGCTAATTATTAACTAAACATCTTTACCACTTCGAGTGGATGAGGATGAAATGAGTCTTGCTCCCACTGATAGAGAACATCTAAACGTGTCAAGAACAAGCTGAGATCTTTTTTCTGTCACTTTGGACATGGATTTCAAACTTCCAAATCATCGTTGGAAAAAAAATTATTTTTTGAAAGTTTTTGGGGTATTTCGATTTCTGTTTAATTAAGATAGCATCTCGAGTTTCAGAATCATCGTCTATATACGATTTTGTAGAGAATTAAATGCTGAATCTTTTACAAAAAACAGCTGAATTTTTGAACCTGAGGATCGTGGACAAACTTCAAAATACTGAGAGGTTGGTTTCTTCTCGATCCATTAGTTTACAAGAAAATGTCTAAATTTCAGATGTCAGGTAGGTGTTTTTGAGTTTTTATGACAAATAAAAATAAAATTAATAATATATACTTCTGCAACGAGTGGGTAGTACCAGAAATTCAATAAATGATGTCTCATTCTTTCTTATATAACAGAAAAGAAAAGAAAAATTATTGCTCATTAAACAGGCGAATATTTTTTTCTAAATACTTGAAAAAATTATTCATTCAATTTGGGCGTATAGATTGAATATCTTAGTCATACAGAAAATAAAATACTGTAGTATAAATACGATATAATACTGAATATAGAATACAAATACAGTTATAATTGACAAGTTACACAAATTCAAATAATCTGTTGAACATGTCTAAAGGACAATTAGAAGTTATTATCGTTGAAGGACGTAGTTTAAAAAATTGTGACTGGTTTGGTGAAAATGATCCATATATTGAAATTTATATGAATAAAAAATATAAACAACGTACATCTACTATTAGAAATACAAATAATCCATAGATTATTCAAATATTATAAGATTTTATAGAGAGGAATGAAAAAAAAAAATTTTTTAAAAATACATTAGATTAATACGAAGATATAAATAAGCAGTGGTTCATAATTTTCATCTTATAATAAACAAATATTTTATGACTTGGAATGAAAAAATGATGTTTAATCTATTAAAAGGTGATGATACGATACATTTTGATGTTTATGATAAAGATTTAATTGGAAGAGATTCAATTGGTAATGGAAAAGTTAAACTTAAAGAAGTAATTCAGACTGGTCATTATGATAATTGGGTTAAATTACCAAGTCATTTTGGACTATCATCACATGGTGAAATCCATATTATTATGAATTATATTGCACCTTAAGAGTGTCAGGTCAGACAGTTTTTTTCATTTATGTTTTTGCAAATAATATTTTTTTTGTATCAAATTAGAAATCTCAGTTCATTAACTCTTAAATCGAGCGTGTGTATTTTTTTTTTCTTTTCTGTTCCGGTTTATTCTTATTTATTAATAAACTGCATGTTTACATGAACTTTTTACTGCAAGTGAAAATTTTTTATGGTCAATAGTAAGAGTAAGACTTTTTCGTTGATTGACAAAAACTTTCCGGCTATTAAAGAAAAATTCAATGAAGAAAAGTAAAAAAACATTTTAGCCATTTTGTTCATGGCTTTTGAAATATGAAGGGAAGAAGCTCGAACATGGAATATTCTATAGGAGCCACATTGTATGATAAAATTAGTACAACAAAAGTTGATTTTCATAGTTAAATAAATGTTTTCCCATGAGCAAAAGAATGAAAGGATGTAATGTTTTAATTAAATAATTTTCCTTCAGAATTATCGATGGTAGAGTCCTGCGGGTTTGAGATTTTCGAACCCGATGTGGTCTAGTAGATTTGAAACCCATCCGGAACCCAAACCCGCCAAAACGTTTTCAGGATCCCGAGCCCGATTTTTTCAAATTAAACCTGTCTGGAACCTGCTCGAATCCGAAATATTTTTTTTCTAGTGAAGCAGTGCTCTCGTTCATTTTAACATTAGTAAATATCTACTCGTAGCAGTACAAAAATAAAATTCACTTGGTCGGTTGTACGTCTAGTGCGAAACACCTGTCCGTTTTCCTTATTTTCCAATCTTTTTTATTTATTTAGAATTGTCTCTTATCTCCCCCTATATCAAACTAGAAGGATCGGGATCGGAAACAAACCCGATCCCGATCCTATTCAGATGAACTAAAACCCGTTCCGAACCCGAACTCGAAAAAAAGCTTTCGGGATCGGGTTAAATCCGCAGGACTCTAATCAATGGAGTGATCAATAAACTGATTACCATATTTGACATTTTTTTAACTTTACTCCATTTCTAATAACGATTATTCTTCATATTCTACGACTTGAAAAACGATAGTTGTCTAGATACCATACTATCAGTCATTTTGACGTGTTCCCATGAAAGAAAAGCTTTCAGAACTCTTATGCATCCAAAAGTTTCTCAGTAAAATTGTCTTTATTAAACACAATTATAAAGGTTACAAAGAGGTAGCTGAGAGAGCTCTCTCAGCTACTTCTTTGTAACCTTTGGTGTGGACCACTAGTGGACCATTACCAAAAGTGGTCGAAAAATCTTGACTAAAGATAAGTAAATTGCACGTGCAAATTATGACTAAAATTGATATACATGTTATACGATGATTCTTTGTTTAATTCGATACTAAGTCGAATAGTATCATAGTCAAAGAAGAAAGATATCAAGACGCTTTGAATAAAAACTTCAACTTTTGATACTTTTGACGACTTTTGATTGTCCTAATGAAAATCCACTACCCTAGTGAAACTTCTGTAAGCAAGATCTTGACTTCTTGAATTTTTTCAGTAAGAATTGCTTCAAGAACTTGGTAAGAAAATGTAAGAACTCAAGAAATTTCAAGAATTCAAGAGCTTGAACATCTTGTAATGTTTTGACTTCTTATAAGGTGCAGGCAATTCAAAATTCAAGTAAAAATTTTTTTTGCTGTTTTTTTTACATCATTTGATAGAGTGAGAGTTGCTGATCACGAAAAACAACTTTTTACCTTACACAAATATCTTTTTCAGGTCGGAAAATACGAAAAAATCGAAGTATGTCGTATTTTTCAAAAAA